AATGAAATAATTTTCAACACAAATTAGCTGGAAATTAAATGGCCCCAACTTTCTTGACTACAGCTGAATTTAACTTGACAGAGCATAGATCCTGGATCTAGGCTTGGGGAGGTGTATTTGGCTGTCCATCTCAATGGCTGGGAGAAATCCCCAAGTATAACAGGACCCAGAGTACCACAGGGGAGCCTGGATGCTCAGTGGAACACTTACTGTTTGTGGTGAAAGTTAGTGTGGCCAGTCCCAACTGTGAACTTCGACAGCAAAAATTGCTGTTGGTACCTCTCCATTAATATCAGTGGTGCGTCAGTCAGAACTTTCAATACACCACAATCCTGAGATCACTGTGCTTGAATATTGGTAAAAGTGCATAGATTGTTTGGATTTATTGAATAAAGTACCTTTTTCTTAAAGAAGCTCTTTTTATCAGGTTCAGCAATGGCATTCTTTCTCAGCTAGACTCACATCAAACAGTCAGCCATGTATTCGCGAAGGCCATGTGCCAACTCACTTCTTCCAAACCCTTTATAGAGGCTGCTGTTATTTCAACTGAAAGCCTAGTTTCATAAGTTCATGACATCCTTCAGATGCCATTACTGGAAGACATCCTGTGTTTATTAATGGATAATATGTCTTCTCTGGAATGTATGAAATAGTAGTCAAAATCAATGTGTACTGCTTATATACCCATAGCACTTAAAATATTTTTCTGGGTGGTTTACAATTTAATTATGCAAGCTGCACATTGCCCCTGCCCCAGCAAGCAGGATACTCAGTTTACCAACCTCGGAAGGATGGATTTATCAGTGTCAGCAATGGCATTCTTTCTCAGCTAGACTCACATCAAACAGTCAGCCATGTATTCGCGAAAGTACTACAGCTCTACCACTGTGCCATAAGGCTCCTGTATCAGTAGTGTAGTACTGATTTTTTTTTAAAAAAAAAATCCCATGGAAGGTCTTCCAGTGGATTTTGGTGAGTCAACTTTGAGCCGGTCAGGATCGAATTCAGGTTGCGAGCAGTGTGTTGCCTGAAGTACTACAGCTCAACCACTGTGCCACAAGGCTCCTATATCAGTAGTGTAGTACTGATTTTTTTAAAGTCCCATGGAAGGTCTTCCAGTGGATTTTGGAGAACATGTACAAAGTATGTATTTGAATGATACAGTATATTACTGAAGTATTTTATGACAGTATATTACCAGCCCTTCGGATGATATTCTCAAAGCAGGTTGCACATTGAGGGAGTAATATGATCATTTAAAGCTGTGCCAATAAATATTCATATTATATGACAGTGCATTTGGTTTATGTCGTATGTCTTATATTTATGCTAGAGATTTGACATGTGCATTTTAATACAGAATTTATATAGCATATTTATTTGTGAAGACCATGCCTTAAGTTCAATTATTACAGTATACTAATTGAATGACTGACATTTGTTAACACTTTAAAAAGTCCAATGACAATAAAATTGAGTTCATGCAATATTATATTGCACTTTGGGTAGTGAAACTGCTTCACTTGCGTAATGGCTCTCTTCATAACAGTTGTCTTGTCCTTGCAGATTGGATGAAGCAAAGAAATAATGGAAGCATTCAGACATAACGATAAACTGTGGAAGATTTTAATTCCAATTAACCATAGTTTAGTAATATTTCAAAGCTATAAACTGAGTTTGTAATCCTATAAAGAGTTAATTGGAACAAACTAGCTTCTCAAACTGTGGTTTGCTGCAGACAAATTATATTTGACTTAAATCATATTTTGCAAGGCTGCAACGATATAGCAAATCATTGACAATAAAAAATGGAAGCAAATATTTCTGAAGGAGAAAACTTAGGGATCTGAATTACAACAAAGGCTTAAAAAAAAACTAAACTTATGAAGAACTTCCTGACAGAGAACTGTTGGACAGTGGAATCAATTCCCTTAGAAGGTGGTAGGTCCACCTTTCTTAGAGAATTATAAACAGAGGTTGAAGCATTTTCAGTCTCAGATATTATACTTGTGGATTTCCTGCATCAGTAGGTGTTGTTCTAAATTAGCCTTGTGGTGCCTTCAGACTCTGGCTAAAATCCAGTTGTCACAGCTAGAACAGGCCCAGTGAGGATTTGATGAGTCACCTCTTCTATAAGTGCTATTTATACAATGGGCCAACTCTAGTTGCAACTTACTTCTGCATTTCAGCTTCTGCATAGTTCTATGCTTTCATGGAGGCATTGTGTTAATTTGAATGGAAACTGTGTTGGTTCCAGCTGCTATAGTTTAATGTGTCTTATCATGAACACTACCTTCCTTAAAATAACCTGAGAAATTAATGGTGGAAATAAGATTTCAATGAGGGACCATTTGGCTCATAGCTATATTGTTTAGGTTACAATCTATACATGTTTTATAAATTTGGAACAACTCATTTGGAAGATCTGATTCTGAGTAAACATGCACAAGCTTATGCTGTAAGCACTATGTGATAGTAATAGGTTCACTTTTTAGGACTCCAATGTGTTTTCAGTCCAGTGTAGATTAATAATTTCACATTGGGTGGTTTTGTTTTGTTTTGTTTTACATTCAAGACAGCATAGACGTGGAACACAGAATTCTAAAGAAGCATTTATAATGAAGCTAGAAATATACTGGCCTGTAATTCACCCTCAAGCACACTCAGAAGAAATAAAAGATCATCCCGTGAAAGATCTTCACCCTTCTTTGAATAGTTTCTCTGTTTCTTGTCTAAATTTGGGCTTCTTAAGATGGTATCACTTTCTGCAGAAAACGATTTTTCTGTTTGTGTCCTCTTCATTTTGATTCTTCCTGTGTTTTCCATATAGGTGTCACTTAGGATTTGTTGACAATCTCTTGACTTGGATGGCTTTTCTGTACTGCTACTTCTGGAGGGCATTTAAAAATTCCTGGTGAAAGAAATGTAAAAAAAAAAAATTAAAAAATTCAGCAGCAAAATATAAAGCACTAGGGATCATACCTTTTTTTCTGCTAAAGAATATTAAGGGTTTATTGCCTCTTACCTGGGACTTGGGGTAGTTTTAGCTAAGCACTACACAAACCATGAATTACGTCCAAAACCCCTTGTGAAAGTAGATGGGGGGGGGGATCTTAGAACTCCTGTGGCTTCTTGTGTAATCTGGGCTTGTCTACGTGGCAGGAATGAAGCAAACTAGATCAGGCTAAATAAAGTCACTAGGAGGTCTGGTATGCCATTTGTGTCATCTTCTCATCAAATAGTGTGCAGATCTCAGGCAACTCTATTTGGTCTCCAGTAGCCTGCTATCAATTACCAATATCATGAAGAGGTTGAAGAAGAGAGCCACTTCACAATATCGACAAATCAAACACTTCCTGATCTTCTTGGATGAGCCAAAGAAGTGAAAGAAAACTCTTACTTGTGCATTAGAGCACTGAATTTGTGCTACATCACTTTAAAAACAGCTTTAGGCACGTGTATTAGAAATTAAATATGTGTATTAAGAATGTTTATTAGGTATTAGGAGCCAGGAAGTGTTTAATTTGCCAATATTATGAAGTGGCTGTCTTCATGATATTGGCAAATTAAAAGAAGAAGGCTCACTTTGCTTCATTTCCAGCCATCACATGCTCTGAAAACAGACTAAAATGGAGCAATCCTATCCACACCAAGCAAGTACAAGCCCTTGACAGGGGTCAGAAAGGTGCACTCAGATACAGATCAGCAGCCAGTGAAATTAATATTGCAGTGGAGTAATTTCATTCACCGATAACAACTCATTTCCACTTTTTGTTAAGAGAAACAGCATTTTTAAATAATTTAACATGAACTGATTATACTTTTGAAGTAGTATTGTATTGGTGGAGGAAAAGATGAAAGGAAGTGCAAATCAACATGCTTTCATATGCGGTGGGAATGTGAAAAAGTAAATCAGGAGTCAATGCAGTTCTGGAGAAGAGGACAATAAAGGAAGAAGAAGAATAAAGATAGAGGAAGAAGAGGATTACTGCAAGAGGTCCCAATTATGGTGGTGGGGAACACAGTTGATTTGTATTATGGTTTATGTATTTTATGTTTATGTTGTAGTTCATTTAATAATAATACAGTGGAACGTCTACTTATGAACTTGATGCATCCCAGAAGATGTTCATTAGTTGAAACGTTCATAGGTAGAAACAAAATTTCCCATAGGAATGCATTGAAAATCGATTAATCAGTTCCGGCTGAAGGAAAAAAATACAAAAAAAAAAAGAAAGAAAAGAAAAAAGAAAATAAACAGAGCAAGTCCCATGCTGGAACTGCAAAAAAAATTAATAATATTAAATCCAAAAATAAACATTGGAGCAAGTCCCATGTTGGGACTGCCAAAAAAAAATCATCAAAAAAACAACAGCACAACACAGAAGCATAACTCCCCAGCCCAAACCTACCCTCCAAAACCCACCCAGAACAATTTTTCTAAAAGGAAAAAGCAGCACCTTACCAGTCCAAAGCCTCTGAAGCCTCTTGGGCGTCCCCCGCCACCGCGATCGCTGCCTCCGGAGGCCTCCCAGGGCTTCCCCACCACGATTGGAGACCTCCTGGTGGTCCTCCACTGCCGTGATTGCACATTTGGAGGCATCCCAGGGCTTCCCCGCCACGGTGGGGAGCCCTGGGAGGTCTCCAAAAGCACCGATCATGGCGGCGTTGGAAGCCCGGGAGGCTGAGCCTCCCTTTTCCTAACTGTTGGGGCGAAAGAGCTACAAAGAAGCAGCCTCTTCGCCACCAACGGTTAGCAAATTGAAATTTCCCGCCCTTTTCCCCTGCCTTTTTCCATTCGTACATTGAAGCTCCGTTCGCAAGCAGAGGCAAAATGTTGTGAACAGATCTGTTTGCAAGTTGAAATGTTCATAGGTAGGGACGTTCGTAAGTAGAGGTTCAACTGTAATAATAAAAATTTTAAAAAAGGAAGTGTAAAACAACATGGGATATGAATTAGAGTTTGATCTTCGAAATGTTCAGATTTCCTCTGAGACTTCCTGAGTTAGTACATTGTGCTGTTCTGCTCAGAGGTAGAGTACTCCAAGGGCAATGTTGTTTCAGGCTGAGGCACAAAATAAGCCTGGTCTGGTGACTGGCTCAAGACAATGCAGAGATCTAGCAAACAGTGGCATCCTGGAAAATCAGAAATCAGGTGGATAGTCAGCCTGCTCAGCTTCTGATGGTTCAGGGTGTGCAGGATCCAGCAATTCTAACCCCGCTCACTGAGGTTCATGTGTCCGTATTTGACCAGCAGGGCCATGACACCTACTGACAAAATGGTACAGATCTGTGAGGAAAACTCTCTTCAGTCCAGAGTGCTGAATTTATCTCAGAATATTCTCTGCAATATTTCCTTTTGGAAGATTTAGAAGGTTAAGATATCTCTGCAATTTCTCATATTACTCTAACCAGAAAACATGTCTGGAATGTAGATTTATAGAAGTGTTTGCACACACGAACGCACTACATTTAAGATATCTGCATTAAGTAGTTAGGCTGTAGCCTGAATTAAATATGTTATTCCATCACTGGCAAGTGGTTTGTAATAAAAGGGTGTCTATTAGTTGCCTGACATGCCAGATGGGAAACAAAACTTTTCAGGGGCAGTCTTAAGATATTTTGTTGCCTGAGGCAAAAAGGAAGCCACTACATACAAAACCCAACTAGACTGGCAGTCAGTATTCCCTCTAAGCTGTGCACTTATGCACTTGCCCATAACTCCGTCTGGGTTGCGCTCAGGCATCCGGCGTCTGATTTGTTTACTTCCCATTTCAAATGAAGCCTTGCCCACCCCACACACATGGAGCAAGTTTCTCGTTTAGCAGGGCAGAAACTTAGAGGGAATGTTGCTGACAGTGAAATTCTGCAAAACAATGTCCCATGTGGTATCTGAGGGTAACAGCTGTCTCTGTCTTCCAGTGGACAGCCTGTCCCTTGCCACCAGTGCCTGCTTCTTGAGGCAGCTGTATCGGTCAGGTTAATTGTAGGGCTGGTGCAGAAATTTTTACTATACTAATGTTGCTTTACTAATGTAAAGGATGCATTCAACATAGTTTCCTATAACGTGACTCCATTAGATTCTGTCATGTAACCCACATAGCTTGGAAACATTATTGTATGATGCTACAACTCTCAAAATCACCCAGTTAGTATGGTTTACTGTTCTTTGTAGCCCCACCCACCCAAAAAATAACTTTCCCCCAATTATGGAAACTTACTTGGATTGTTCTGGTATCCCTTATGGGGGGGAAAATACAGAGGGCAAATAAATGCCCTTTCTAGCCCAATGACACTAAACTCAGTGACAATAAAGTACTTTTTGGAAGAGGAAATCAATTTTTTAGGTAAAAGTTCATTTCCAGACACAGTTCAAAGTGCTAGTTCTGACTGAAAACATTATAAACACGTATTCAGACTTTCTCCCATAAAAGGTTTCTTGGGTGTTGAAATCTGGTGAAACCCTTCTTTCAGTCCCAACAACCTTAGACAGCTTGTCTTATTGTGACAGATCTTTGATAATATTTACTGGTTACTCAATGAGGGACTTTTAACAGGTGGATTCTGTCCTTTTATATTATTATTGATGTGCTTTTTAATTTTTTTCTAATTCACCGTTGTTTTGTTACAACTTCTTTAATTGTGTTTTTAATATTATCAGTATTTATTCTTGTCTATGTCATTTTCATTAACTTGCTGTAAGCCAGTTTTGGAAGAAGGCATATGTAAATAAAATAAATGATGATGGGAAACGGAGGGGGTGTAATATGGAGTGGAGTATTGTAGAGGAGGGCCTGTTTGAATAGTTCCTGAAAACACTGAGCAGTAGCAGTACCAGTGATATTATGTTGTACAAGGTTTCACTGGTCTGTCTGTAAAAGCCATCACTAGGTTCCTTGGTCTGCTTGTTGTATATATTTCCTCAGTTTACCTCAGAGTCGTCAATGGACTTTGCATACAGAAACAGGATATTAGATGTATATTAGGTCTCCATTTGAAAGGGTAGCTACTTATGTTATAAGATATTTTGATATAGTCAGTTTATAAATGCTACCATTATTTGAATTACCTGAGGTAATAATGACCTACTTTATGTAAAGATTTATCCCTTTTTTGTTTAACATGTTGTGATTCCTCTTATTGTGTTGCCTTTCTCTTTGGCGTTATTTATATTAGTGCTTTGAGAACATGAATGAAAGCTGCGGTGGACATGTTGAAAACCCTCCAAAGGGATGTTTTATATTACATCAAACTTGGATGACTAATGCATCAGGCAGCTGGATTTGTGGCCTGTTTCGGTTTAGTAGAGGGTGTAAAGTGGTAGGAAACACTGGTGCTTCTATGAAGCAAATAATTGATTCTTTAGAACCTTAAATTCCTTTTTTCTTTTTTAAAAAGCAGACTTCTGTTTCTTGGGATTCCTTTGTAGTTTAATATTTTTTGATTATTTTAGGGTAAATGCATTTCAAAATATATTTCATGTGTTTCTGATTTTACCCATGCCACCAACTTAAGCAGTTTGCACTGGAGCCTGACAGAAAGTATTCATCACCTCCTTAGCCAATTAGGCCTAGAACGAATTTGCACAATTGTTTCTTCAGGTTCTGTTTTTGTAGTCACTTCATAAGCAGAGAGGCACATGTTGTGAATAGTTTGAAAGTGATAGCTATGTTAGTCTATTTTAAGATAACCAAAAAATTTACCATATTTTCCCATGTATAATACTAAACGTTTTCCTAAAATAGAGGAAAAATTGAGGATTGTTTTATACATGGAAGGCAGCAGCAGGAGACGGAGGCAGGGTAGCATCCATGCTCAGATGCCTTTCGTAGCTGCCCATTGACTGCTGCCTCCACTGTCCGATCACCCCCTCCAGTGCCACTGCCAGGGCTCACCTCATCTCTGCTTTGT